GGGGTATCTAATTTGCTTATCACGAATATAGTGCGCACTTCGCATGGCAATGTCTTTACGTGAGTTTCTGTAATCGGTCCAAAATGCGAAAAATGTCTATTCCACAGGCTGCAAATCACCGTAACTTCACATTAAGGCTTTATTGCAGTGAATAAGCATGATACGTAACATCATGCTTGAAAAACCTTCTAGGCACGGTTTTGAGCAAAATCGAAACCTCGACTTCCCTGCTGTACACAAACCGTAACCCAAGAAGTTGGCGCTATTTCGAGAAACCCGCACGATATTCATGTTCAGAGGGCTGAAGCTCCCTAGGCGAAGTTTAGAACAAGTTCGTGGTTTTAACCCCATATCGTGTCCTACCGTAACTCCTTGAAAATACCGCAGAATGAAAAAAGAGGGTGATATTCGTGATCGTCGAATAACCCCAATAGACCAAGTTATAGCGAGATCCGTGACTTGGCCCCTTACCCTATACCCACCGCAACCCCAGAACATGGAAAAGAAATAAAAATTCGGCGTTAGCCAGTGGGTCGTATAACCCTGCTGGGCCGCCAAGTTTGAGCTAAATCCGTGATTGTGAGCGCCGCATTTTGTCTCTATTACTGTGAACATGCTACAAATAAAGTTTTCTACCAGTCCCACAACTTTCTTCACCCAGAGTGAAAAAAAGCATTACGCAACTAGAATTAAATTGAAGCATGCTCTTTACCGTCATGGCCACCCAAAGACGGAAAGTGTTACGCGGTAGTGAGTGATTATAGTGGTCCGTAAAAACTGATAAACGACTATTCGCAGGCTTAGGAAGGCAATCGGTATCGTTTATCTACCCGGTTCTTCAAGTTAAAGAAAAAAAACTAAAAACCTTAAGCATTGTGCTGGACAGGCAGTTGGAAACAAAGAGGTCTTACTTCCAAAATTTTATCTACCAAACAACCTCTTCTATTTTTAAATGTATAAATGCAGGACTCGTTCGAGGAGTTTAGTAGACGAAAAAAGTATTTGAGCTCAGCAAAATTTAAAACATCTGACAAAGCTTTTGTAGGGATCCGTGATGTGCTAGCTGATGTAACATGCGCTATTCTATCCCTCCACCTTCAAAAATGGATGTTCCGTATATCACCTTCATAAAATTTCCTTTGAAAGAAGTTTATGACCGAAAAAGTAAATGTTGTTTTACAGATAGAGAAGATCCGTGAATCAAGACCTGGTTCGCTCAAGTCTGGCAGAAGCGGACGACGTCCACAGTTTCCTGACATCGAGAAGCAATTATTCTCATTGTACTGCCAGCGACTGGAAACTGGCAGTAAAGTTGGAAATCGATGGTTACGTGAGCGAGCTCGAGAACTTGCTGGAGATGCGAATACAGCGTGCCAATTTTCGGAACGTTGGCTGAGTAATTTCAAGAAGCGCTTCCACATCAACGTTCAACGGGAAAACGACTCCATCGTCGACTCTCAGTCAACCAATTCCACATCTAGCGACAGGCAAACACTATCAGATACAGAGACTGAGGGATTTGTTGAGCATATCGAAATGGAGAACGGGATACATCAAGACGTTGTCGCTGAGATTGTGAATCAGCCGGGACAGCTACCTATCCAGGCGTTCTACGAGAAGTTCCCCTGGCTCTGCAAGAAAGGAGCGCAGGTCGAGCCGGGCAGGAGGGGCCGCAAAGTGCAGTTTCCAGATGTGGAACGGGTGCTTTACGAACGACTTGTAGAGCGACAAAAAAGTGGCGAACGCGTCTCGAATCGCTGGCTGCAAGATCAGGCTCGCGATCTAGCCACAGAACTATGTCCAGGAATTCTCGAAGAAGCCGTGAAATCATCGCGATGTCTATTTTCGGAGCACTGGCTCCACAACTTCAAGAAACGCTATGGGATAAGTCTCAAGTACAAAAGTGCCACAGCCGAGCCAGGTCCGGAGAGTGCGAGCACATCGGCGCAGGTTTCGCCGATTCCTTCAGCCGACACCATGGACGCCAATCTGACCGTTCTTCACCTGCACAACTGGTTCATGAACCAATGCTATGCGCCACTTTGGTCGTCGGCTTCGCGACCCTACACATTTTCATGATACTCACGTTGACAACATATAGTTCGGGTTATACATAAGTGACAATAATTAGCTGGAAAAGCAATAATACTGGTGCATTTCATTCCTGTGATTTGTGCAAATAGTCTGTGATACGTTGCAATACATATGTAAATTAGATGAATAAATTTTGCGGGTTTTTCATATACTCAAAAAATATTGTACGGGTTGATAGTGAGTAAGACAGAAGAGGGAAGAATTCCAAGAATAAATTTTGCGGGTTTTTCACACACTCAAAAAAATGTTACATAAGCGGATAGCGAATAAGATGAAAGAAGGATTTGCAAGTTAGGTAGAAAACTAGGTTAGTAAAACTGAAAGAATGGTTAGCTATGCAAAGGTGAAACCAAATAACCATATCACCATATCGCAAATCATTAGTCAAGAAACTTGAAGAAATCAAGGCATTCTTCGTCCGCAGACAATCAAGCATACTACTTTTGTTCTACCTAGCAAGCTGTTTTCAACCTTACTAAAAAATTCTGATTGAAAAGTCAAAAGGTCACGTAGGAGAATGATTTGCAAGGAAAAAACTGAGTTATAGTTAAAAAAGTTAGTAAAACTGAAGATGATGACGCAGGAAAAATATCTGGAAGAAATGGTTTTTTATTTCAAAAATTCTGGTGCAATGAAATGATCATTAGAATTCAGAGTAATTTGCAAAAACCTACAATCGTAGTTTATCAGACCTATAAAAAATTAGTTATTCTCCAATCTATACTCTCACCGAGTCACGCAAACGATCTGAACGGGAAACTTTTTTATGAGTAAAAATTCGCTGACTGAAGACACAAAGATTGAGAAAACTTGTGCATAAAAAGAACTAAGTTGGACATAGACGATGACACAGAAGCGATAGTAGTACGAATTAGAAGACGTAACATTAATGGGCTTGAAAGAGAGCGTAAGCTGGTGTAGGCGAGGGTCAGCGGTCGGCGTCGGTTGACGTCGTCGCTTTCATCTCACCGCTAAATGCGCACCGACGCACTCGACAAATTCAAATTCGGACGCTTCAAAGCGGCCACAAAAATTGCCGCTACACGTATTAGCTTCGCGTCGAACAAAGAGTCAAAACTATCCTATTAGAAAAACAGAATGAGAGGTTGATGTTGCATGACGTTTGTTCGTTTCGTTCAAATTTTGCACGATTTCAAATCGGACTGGCACAAATCTTACATATCAAAAGGACGCAAAACTGAGAGGACAATGAGAAAGGTGTCAAAGAAAACATTCATGGAAAACAAAAGCAGAAGCTGTTGAAATTAGCGATCGTCAATGTTTCAGGATGTTAATGTGATGAGCGAGTTTCTTGCGAGCGCGAGCGTCGATTCTCATTAGAGCACGGAAACTCTCATTCTTGATTTCGCCTTGGCTCGTTCGTCTTCTGCACTTTTTACTTTTCTCTTTCTTTGTGGGTGTTGAGCGAAATCACAGTAACTGAAAGATTTTAAGGAAAATTCTGACCTACTGATTTTTGAGGTCCTGTCATTTTTGTGAACTTCATCATTGAGTTCCAGTTGAGTGCTACTGAATCCATAACTTTTGTTCCGCATGACCCTTATATTACAGTCATTTGGGAGGGAATTCTTATTGTAACGTGCACGGCAACTTCTGGAAGAGTCTTCATGATACTAAAACGAAGATGTTTATTAGAACTTGTTTTCATTTTTTTCCTTCTGCTGTAAGCCCTTTCTAGTTCCATAAACAGCACCTACAACTCATTCGCTGTCTGCGTTTATTGTCACTTTGACTTCGATCTACTCCAACACTAATTCAATCACTTCTGTTTTCGTCAAAAATTCTTTTTCCAGAAAATGCAGGCTGTACGCATTGCATTTTGGCGGACAAGGACATGCAGAAGGTTGTTTTCAATACAGTCGGCCACTTCCTCATCGGACGAATCAACAGCCGTACACAAGATGATGCCTTCGGAAAATTTTATGAAAAAGTTTATCAAGCGGCCATCCCAGCGAGACAGGCTTGCCTCTTTGATTTCGGAACTAGACGTAAGATTTTTGTAATTGATCTTGCACGGCCTCAAAACTTTTTTGTCGTGGATTTTGCTCAAACTCGCTCTATATGGGTCATTCGACCCGCTAATGTCGAATT